CTTGTTGGTGTTGACATGATAATAATGTGGAAATGTGGAAAAAAACTTGAATCATGAAATGCGGCCAAGTGCCAGGTATGATATGACCATTGTGGCCACTAGTGCCGATGAACTGAAAAACGTTAAAGAAGTATGAAAAAAGATGATTGATAGAAAATGGTAATGTGTCAGGCAAGGCGGCCTAGCCGATCGGTGATCGGACACCATGCCGCACACATGGTAGTAATTATGCTGGAAATTGAAACTAGAATTTGAGAATGAAATTGTGATTATGGTTAATGTCTCAAATAAGATGACCTAGCCGATCGGGTCGAGATCGGACTCCGCGAAAGAATGCGGTGGTATTGTGGATGATGGTGTATCAGTATTAATGATGTCCCAACCTAAAGCTATGGAAATTTACTTGAAAATTTATGTGATCCTTAATTTGATGTTATGGTGTTGCTTAAGGCTTTTATTTATTTTATGATTATTTTCTTCTTGTATTATTGTTCATTCTAATGAGATGGTGTTTATCTATATATACTAGTACCATTCAACGGTACTAACGTCCCTTTTGTCGGGGGCACTGCGTTCTTAATGGATGTAGGTGGTTCCACAGCAGGCAGTATTGATCGGCATTAGCAGTACATCCTCCACCCAGCAGTCTCAGTGAGCCCCATTTAATTTCGGGGTTGTGCATCTTTTGTCCCTTATGTATTGGACTTGAGGTATATCTCACGGACAACTCACGTGCTAATATCTCAATCCGCTCGGCATGATCACAGGCTCACATTCACAATCTGCCCGGCATGATCACAGGCTCACATTCACAACCCGCGCGGCATGGTCACAGGCTCACAATCACAATGCGCCCTCCGTGGTCACAGGCTCACAATCATAATCCGTCCGGTGTGGTCACAGGCTCACAATCACAATCTGCCCGGCATGGTCACAGGATCAATATCACAATCCCCCCAGCGTGGTCACATGCTGAATAGCAACATGAAAACAGATAATACAAGAACACATGGGCATGTTTAATAAATGTCAAGTTTCATACTCCTGAGCTAGTTCAAGTGCATGGTATGGTGAATGCTTGTGCGAGTGTACTAATGCAACCCAAGTCAACAAGTAATACCAAAGACATCGAGTAGCTCATCCAAGCAACATAACAATTCACGTAAGGTGTATGACATACACTAGGAAAAAAATACCATCAACCCAATACCACCAACAAAATGGTCCCAAGCCAGCACACGTCGTCACAGACATTGCCACCCTTATCTCTCTGATAGCTACCCCTATCAATCCGTCCTGACAATATCATTAGCCATCTTTATCTCTCTGATACCCACCCGTATCACTCTGTATAGTAGCACGCTTATCACTCCGCCCGAACAATAACACAATAGCCACCCCAATCACTCCGTACATTCAACAATAGTGAGATGCCACCCTTATGCCCCACATAATAAAAACTGTGAAATGCCACCCTTATACTCTGCATAACGACAACCAAACCACACAACAATTCATAAACGCTAACATCACAACAACATGACATTTTAACCCATACTACAAATGCTGATAGGCCACAACCTTTCCAAAGATCCAACGATATCAATATTTCCATAACAAATAGCCCACAACTCAAATGCCAATGTTTTATAAAACCTCATTAACAACAAAATGAACGGGAAAGTAACGCAAAAGGAACAACACCCCCTTTAAACACAACTTCAATTTAAATAGATTAATGACTTCGAGAACTTCAATTCCAATTAATTGTTTAAGGATAATCTCGATAGTGAAAGTATTTCATGAAATGGCAAGCTTCGGATTCTAGTGTATGAGTTAGGCTAGCAATGAAAGAGATGGCACGAACTAGTACTACGCCTAAATGCATGAAAATAACCTGGCACAAAAGGATATCACATAATAATAATTTCAACTAAGAGTAAATCCACAATAAAATAAATCATGTATTGCTAAAGGTGATAACAACTCCAAATAAATCATTTAAGAGCAAACTCGACAAGTAAAGAATGTGACATATAATGACAACTTCAAATAAAGCATGTGATAGTAGACACGATGACTAAAAGAAATAACATGTGCTAACAATTCCAAATAAGTACATGATAGAGGCCTAAGAGTCTAAATCGGTCAATTTCCATATATAAGCCTGAGTACGAACTCGTCACCTCGCATACACGGATGTGATATGCGATAGTCGACATGATGACTAAAAGAAATAACATGTGCTAACAATTCCAAATAAGTACATGATAGAGGCCTAAGAGTCTAAACCGGTCAATTTCCACATATAAGCCCGAGTACGTACTCGTCACTTCGCATACACGGATTTCACATGACACAAATAGCACAAACGACTCAATTCCAAGGGGGTAGTTCCCCCCCCCCCCCCTCCCCCCTCCCTACCCCCAAGAAGTTAGGCAAGATACTTACCTCAAAAAAGCTAAATTGATGCTCTAAAATGACCTTCTCGCGAGAAATAACCTCTGGATAACTCAAATCTAGCCAAAATAACTTAATATCATGATAAAAACTATAGGAAATAATTCCGGATAATAATAAAGCTTCGATCTTTAATGCAAAACTAAATAGTCAACCCCAAGGCACCTCGAAACCCGAAAAAATTCACAAAATCCGAACACTCATCTCGATACGAGTCCAACTATACCAAAATTATCCAATTCCGATATCAAATCGTCCTTCAAATCATCATTTTATATTTTTGAAAGTTTTCACCAAATTCTCATTTTTCTCCAACTCAAACAACTAATTTAATGATAAAAAAATATGGAATTATGAAATATAATCAAATCTGGGTAAAGAATACTTACCCCAATCCAAGTCGTAAAGAACCCCTCATAAATCGTCCAACCAAGGTCTACAACTCAAGATATGATAAAAATGGCAAACCCTCGAATTATAAACATTCTGCCAGAGATTCCTCTTTTGCGGACAAAGAAGCGCACCTGCTAGCCCGCATTTGCGAGCGATGGCTCACATCAGCGAAAAAAGCTTACCAGACAAAGATCTGCATCTGCAGAAAGGTAGTCGCACCAGCAAAAGTGCACAACAAACCGCATAAGCGGTAAAATCTCCTGAGCCTCCAACACACATCTGCGACTCACTCTCAGCAGGTGCGATGTCGCTTCTGCGGTTACATACTCGCAAAAGCAGAAAGCCTGACCACGCAAAAACATGCAGAAGTGGCTCGAAATTACGCAGATGTGAAACACCAGAAAGCGGACTTCTTCAACATGGAAGCAATCTGAAACTCATCTGAAACACACCCGGGGCCTCCGGGGCCCCGTCCGGACATACCAACAAGTTCCAAAATATAACGCGGACCTACTCGAGTCATCAAATCACATCTAACGACATAAAAATTACGAATCACACCCCAAATCGAACTTAATGAACTTATGAACTTTCAACTTCTACAACTCGTGCCGAATCATATCAAATCAACCAGAATGACGATAAATTTTGCTTTAAATTTTTAAATGACACAACGGAGCTATACCAATTCCCAGAATTGAAATCCGACCCGATGTTAACAAACTCAACTCCCGGTCAAACCTCTCAACCTTCTATTTTTTGCCAAAATGCATCAAATCAACATATGGACCTCCAAATCCAAATTCGGGCACACACCTAAGTCCAATATCACAATACGGAGCTATTGGAAACATCAAATACCATTCCGGAGTCATCTACACAAAAGTCAAACTCCGGTCAACTCTTTTCACTTAAGCTTCTAAAACAAGAATTGTTCTTTCAAATTAAATCCCGAATCCTGCGAAAACCAAACTTAACCATACACGTAAGTCATCTTTATCAGCATGGTTAGTCTAGTTGGGTTCGCCTACGTGGCTCGTTGGGTGCCCGGTCACAATCTAAATTCTAGATTTGGATTATGACCAAAGTTCTCATTACTTTTCAAAAATTTAAAATAATATACTTTTAGACCCTAAAGTTCTCTGTACGGCTCAAAAATTAGGATAGCATACTTTATTTTCATATCTTTTAAAAATTATGATAATATACTTTTAGACCCTAAACTATTTTACTTTATGTTGCTGCATCAAATTGTTTGAAGAATCTACAAGTTAGTATCTTACGTCTGGCACAAAATTCTAAGTCTGTTTGGGTTAGTTGATTAAAATTAAAGTATGTGATATATGTATCAAGAGTTGAAAATTACTTGAAGGTTTTAAAGTTGAATTTATAAATAAGTTGTTACGATGTTTGAATATAAGTGTTCAAATTGATAATAAGCAGTCAATTTATTCATTAACAAGGTGCCAATAAGCATTTTTTCAATTAAAATTACTAAAATATTCTTAAAGTTCTTTAAGAGGAATGTAAAACTAAAAGTTTTTTTACATGAAAAAAATCCAAATGACGAAATTGAAAGAGAGAGAAAGAGAGAGAGATAGGAATGTTGCTTTGAAAAGGATATTTGATGATTACAAAATATATTAGGAGTAAAATAATAAAAAATTTGATCAATCTAAAAGTGCTTATAAGTTTAAAGTAATAAGTCTGGGCATTTATAAGCAAAGTCTAGGGTTATTTATTTTATCATTTACGCACTTAGATACTTATTAAGTGTATAGATAAACTAAAAAGTGGCTATAAACTAATCAGCTAATATATGCTTACCCACACTCTCTTTGTAATTGTTAGGCCTCATATATTAATTCTCATAATAAAGAAAGTTCATACTGCCTCCTAATCTTTTGGGCAATCATGATGCTACTTTATTATTTGAGCCCAATTCATCTGCCAAACAGTAATGGCTTCTTAATGTAGAACAGCCACTAATACAATAGAGGAAGAGGAGTAATTTTGTTCCAAATAATAGATGAGTATTGTTTTTCATATAGTGAAGAATAGAGCATATCATCTCTTCGAGATTAAGTATACCTGTTATTGTTAAATGCAGAAAATTTATACATGATATCTCTTTTTCGCGAAAACAATAAAAAGAATCTCTAATATGATATTGTGAGCAAATGACTGTTCCGCTAAAAATGCAGAGACATATATCTTACAAATATCACATTAAGTAATATTTATTCGTGAAATATTCTTGCGCTATGTCATCATTATTACTTTTTGTAGTAGGTAAACTACTTTATCCTCAAACTACTAGTGCTCCAAGCTAGAGACCATCACAGCTTGACATATTTTTTTAACGATAAAAAACTGAAAGAAAGCTATATGAGAATGCTTAAATCATACACACACAATTCATTAACAAATATCAGCATCAACCAATGTTTTTTTTTTTTCACTCGAGAACTTGGTAAAGTGAATTTTGCGAAAGATCTTCTCACAAGTCACACTGGTAGAGGGCAGGAGCAATTATTGTCGCAGGAGTATATATGCATTCATAACAAAGCCAACCGTCTGAACAATCACTCTTTTTACGACAAGTTCTCCCGCATGTCATGAAATCATTGAGTGGCATTAATTTTTGTTTCACCGATAGCATATTGTGGGCCAAATTTCGCATAGCCATTGATTGCATCTTTTGAGAAGAAGACAGATTAACTGCATGACATGATCATAGCTAAGATTATATTAGTAATATTAGACTATACATGAGGAATATACATGAGTTTACATACTAACAATGTAAATTTTAATTTTTATTAGTATCTAAAAGATGATCACAACTAATCATCCATGATAAGTTGTTGAAAAAGTAGGTAAACTACTATAATACCGGTAGTGTAAAAAGAAACTATGTAAGCAATATATATAAATAAACTGGATAATACATATACAGTCTGCAAGTTTGCGCTCATATGAGTAAACTTAACTACATATATAGGTTCTTCATGTATTTAAAAATAAAAGTTACTCCATCTGTTCCAATTTATGTGAACTTATTTCCTTTTTGGTCCGTTCCAAAAAGAATGATCCCTTTCTAAATTTTGTAACAATTTAGCTTAAACTTACAATTCTACGCTTAATGAGAAGCTTTTATAATAATACAAATACTCTGGCCCCTTTTTGACTTGTTTAGGACCACAAATTCCAAAAATCTCCATTTTTTTTAAAACTCCGTGCCTAGTTAAACAGATTCACATAAATTGAACTGAGGGAATGCATATTTGAAAACTACATAAAAAAAAGTATTTCAACTTATAATAGTTAAAGCTTCAAAACTTTTAAAAAATATTTAAGATAGAATAATAAATAAATTTCAAAGAAGACAGAGAAAGAAAGATGACCAGTAATTGTCGTGACGAGAATAGTGAATACGAAAGCAAACTTTATCATAGCGCATTCCTTGCCCATCTCTACTCTTCTACTATTGATGGAGGATGTGAGTATGTTGGTGATTTTCTTGATAGGCAGACACCATATTTATAGGACAGCCTCATGTCAACATGTTCATTGGCATATACTACATCTGACGTATTTGGTGTTCCCTTGCTGATTGTTTATCTTATTTTGTTTGTAAATTTTATTTTAGCAGCCGACAATTAAGAATCTTCTATTGATTATGTGCTTTTTATATTAGTGATTATGTAATAGGTTTAAAAAGTTGCAACTGATTTTTTCATTGAAATCGTTTAATTTGCCTCTGCATTTAAAAACGTTTAAATTTTTTTTGTATATGTTTTCAGTTTCAATCATTGTCCAGAAGGTACAATTATGATACATATTTTATGTTATTGCTTGTCGTAAATGTTGTCCTAGACTTGTAATGTCTATATCATTACGAAGTGCTATTTTGGCATCATCCGATCCACATAAGTCATGCTCTACAGGGTTGAAGAGCACTGTCAGCGGCAGGAGCTATAAGCAACTAACAAGGGACGATTGTAGCCAGCATCACTTAATGAGAGTAATTTAAGATGTTATTTGGCGAGTAAATAAAGATAACCAGATGCAACGATTGAAGCCATATGATGCAAGGCTTAGTAGCAGCAACACGAAATCCCTTGAAAAGACAGCCAGATGCATAAATTTCCGTACAATCATCCCTTCTGTTTTCTTTTTTTTTGTACAAACTTTCCTTCTATTTGTTTTTTTGATGGATAGTTTTTGTGAACCTTTTCGTCCATAAAGGTTTTGATAACTCAACCTTCTATTTTGAGTATTTACGTCTCATTTTATATATTCAGACTTTATACATGTTGATATTATATTTTGGGAGTATCTGGTATGGTGTTAGGATCAAAAAAAGTCAGGTGTCATGCGGAAGCTAGTAAAGCAACACTTGAACGACGATAAATCAGATAATAAAAGAGAAATATACAAAAAAGAGACACAAACATTTAACGTGGTTCGGTCAGCTGACTTACGTCCACGGCGGAGATGTGCAATCAACTATATAAAGGAGAGTACAAAAATATTGAGAGAACAACCTCACGAAGAGGCAAACACAAGTAAAACAATAACACTTGTCCTGTAAAGTTCTCCCTCTAAACACGACTCTCAAACCCCATATGGCTACATTGTGGATGCCTGAATAAGAAGGAAAGATCCTCAATTCATAGAAGTCCAAACATTTTCCTACAAGAAAAAGGACTAGCCAAATATAAAAGAACTATAATTTTCTTCTACAAAATAAGAAAATTAGGACAACACCTAACATATTTGGTTGGAAGCCGAGTGGCTCATAAAATTTCAACATATTTTGAACATGTTGGTGATTGTAGATCTTTTTCTACTATCTGGTGCACTGCAATCGTGTAGCCAGCAAATGATCGCACAGAAAGAATGTTTATTGTCCTTTGTGAGTGCGTAGGGTAACTGGGCGATCGGGACCCAGGGCATTTGTGTATACAGTCAAAACTATTTGTTCCCGATTTCGTAGGCTCGAAGGGTCGCGTCGAGAACGAGTTCAATACTGACCGGGCTCGAGCCCGATGGCAGAATACGAAACTCGAGGATAGAAGTGCTCCATGAACACTGGGGCCGAGTTTGACCAACCTCAAGATAATGCCGTTTTGGTTTTATAACAGAAAGCGCGAGATTCCCGCGGTGGTCCTGAGATCACGACGTAAATTCCGAAACGGATTTGTAGTAGGCGGTTAAACAACTGTATAATAAGATTCCCTACTATAATAATAATTGTACCTTATTTACGATTCCCCTACTATATAAAGGGACCCCAATCATTTGTAAGGGATCATCAATCATTGAGAAAAAAATATACATTTTCACTTTCTTGCTTACAGCTTGTCACACCTCCCTTTTACCGAAAGGGGATATAAGGGAGTTTTTCCAATTTAAGTGACATTAATCGATATGGGATTTTTTATTTAATTTCAGAGTCGCCACTTGGTATCGCGCCCCCTTTTATCCCTCTTTGCGTCGGGAGAACGGTTTATCACATTTTGGGTATAGGGCAACTCGTTCCTTTTGGGAACTGGGTTTTGCATTTGAAGAGTCGCCACCTAATGATTTATGGTGCATTAGGACACCTGCAAGGTTCACTTCTAAGCTTTCTTGATAACCAGAGATAGGGTAAGGGCTTGAAATTATCCTAAGGGGAAGGTGTTAGGCACCCCTCAGGATCCACTAGTGTGGTTCCCGGCCAGATGGTTCTTTGTGAATTTGGTGCAATTAACATGTAAAAAGATAAGGCTCAAATAAGAGGGGATTTTAATACGCAAATGTTTGAAAGTAAAGCAAAGTCTGAAAGAGCAATCATTAAAAGGCTGATTTTTGACAAGAAGTTATAATGCTTTAAAGGAAAAGGAAAGAGAGGGAGGGGGGGGGGGGTTCCTAGGTTTGTTTATAATATGGATCACATCAATGCTACACGTGGTATTAGCGCACCGGTCATCATATCCATATCTACCCTTCCCACCTCGTTAAGGTACTAAAACGTGGATTGGTCTCGCCCACTACTGCATGCTATTACCCTTCCTATTCCTATCAGTCCCGGAGGCACTTAGGACTACTATTCCTAAATGGGAGGGATATTAGGCTAACTTTGAGGTTTCAAAGGTGAGAAATCTAAGGCGACATACAAAACACATTGGACTGCACATTAAAGGGGAAGCATATAAAACACTGAAGGCTCATATATACCTCCTCAAACAAAGCAATCAAATAGCACGACTCAAACAACAATCAAGGTCTGAATCTAAAATACTAAGGCAGGGGAATCTTGAGTTGTTGAAGCAAACCAATTTATTACGTAACTCAGACAAGAAGTCCGAATCAGGCCTGCCTGCTGGTTGTAGCAATTACTGGTTAACAGAAATAGGCTCAATCTCATTTATTGTTATTACCTAAGGTTTGCCTAAGTGTTTAGGTGAGCTCTTATGAACATGGTATCTATTATTGATTCAGAGTGTAGCAAAGTAATAACAACTAAAAAGCGAACGGTTTGAGATCCTATAGGCATGTTTGCTTAACCGCGTTAAATAAGGAGATTAAGTTACCAAAGCTGGTTCAGAATAGACTGATTTAAAATTAGACTAGTTTCACATTCTGCAGACGATGGTGTCCACTATCGCTGATTTTAATCCCTATGGACATGATATCTAACATTACTAATTTAAAACCCTTATATATCTAGTTGAATGATTTTAACTCCTATAGGCAAGCTATCTAAATGCTGATTTTAACCCCTATAGGCATAATATCTAATATTGAAATGATTTCTACACATTATACTGATTTTAACATTACGAACATGAGATTTGCTTATAGCTGTTTAGATCCTAGAGCATGATATCTAAGTGGTAACAAACGTGCATAATTTTAAATAAAGTCCTATAGGCAGGTTATCTAGATGTGAAGTTGGACATGCAGAATTTGAAATAAATCCTATAGACATGGTGTCTAAATGCAGAATTGAACACGCAGGATTTAAAACCAGTCTTATAGGCATGCTTTCTAAATTGCAGAATTGAATCGCAAATCCTATAGGCATGTTTTCTACCCTTGAGCATGCATAATTACCCATCCCTTTTTCACTAACCAACCCCGAGTGTTTATTACAAATTATTACAAACTAGAAATAATGAATTATATCAGAACTAAAAAAAACAAAAGAAGTTACAACCAGAGGAAGTCTGATTCTTGACTTCCTCTCTGAGTTAGGGAATAAACCACCTCGAAATGCCATGTTCAAAGCCTTTCTTAGACTTGGGTGTGTCAGAGTTCCCTAAGGGTCTCAAGTGACCCCGGGCAGTGCTTACACCCAGGTTCACAGAACCAGATAGAGATGAGTGCAGTCTGGAAGGGCCAGCCCTTGTGTGTCAAAGTTTAAAGGGAGCTCATGAGTCTCAAGGCAAGGCTCACACAAGAGGGGCAGAACTTAAGTCTAAGAATATGGTGGAAGTGCATGAATAGAGATTTAAAAAAACTGAAGGGGGTAAAGGAGAGGGATAAAGGGTGATGGGAAAACAGTAGTAGTACAGCATAGAGTTAATAATTTTCATACACAGGGGTCAGGGGGATTGGGAATACATTGCAAAAAGCATATATCCTTAGGCAGGGATCAGTTTTGGGCATCCACCGCAGTAGATGGTGCTGGCATGCCTATAAACCAACCAGAACACACAACATGTAGAGGGGATAGGGAGGTTATTATCCCAGGGGATCAGGTTTGGGTCATGCACAGCAATGTCCAATGTTGTCATGCCCCAAACCAACCAAAGATATCAAACACATAGGGGATGGGGGTTTAGGATTCATAAACCATAATAAATGACTGACTGACTTCATAAGAGAGAATTAATTCAGAATAGAAAGGGGCAGATTACAGCCATAATAATGGGACTTGACTAAACACAAACAGGAAACAAACAAGGGTGAAGGAAATAGTAAAGAAACATGTTGTTGTTGATGCTGAAAATTAGTTAGAACATATCAATAAAGATGCAAATGCAGAGAAAAAGTAAGCAAGCTTCCCACAGCCTAGCCTTGGCTTTCAACCGGCTAGTTAAGGCAGAAATACATGTAGCAACAGAGAAAAGAGAGAGATTTTAGTGGAGTGTGTGTCTGAACTCAAGTATTTTTTTCCTTGTGTTCGTGTCCTTGAAAGAATTGGGGTGTAGCGTATTTATAGCTTTTGAAAACATATGAGAAGTAAGGTAATAAGTAAAGTTCCATGCAAATATGGAAACAATCAATAGTCGGAATCAATCAACCAAGTGATTCCCCTTTAATTGAGGAATCACTTGTTTAACGGGGCTAACATGTTCAAAAGGAAGGAAAGAAAATCAGTTTGTAGGTAGACCGATTATTACCATAAAAAGAAGTAGTAAAACATTAAGTAAGCAATCGAGTCCAAGTACAGAGATACACATGTTTTGGGAAAAAGATTCAGCAAGGCAATAATAAGGAAAGGGATCAATTACTTTAACAGGCGAGTGAAATTAGAGTTCACAAAAGAGAAGTTTTAAAATAAGTCCAAGATTGAGAATCAATCAAAGAAGGAACCTCAGCATATAAATAGAGTGCACAAACAATAGACATACGAGGCCAAACTCTTG